GAGAGGAAATATCCAAGGTCTTCAGAATCACTACAGCTTGTGAGCCAGGGGAATAAGAATTTACAACCAAGTCTAGAAATAAAGGGCAAGAGCACGTAGTGGAGCGTGGGGTGGCGGTTTGGGAAATGCTCACTACATTTGCAATGGAAAGCTCACAAAAGCTATCACTGAAGAAAGGAACACAGTTTGCCGGGGAAAGCTAATCCTGTGACTGCAGAAGCTTGGGATGGTCCATGGTCAACCAGACATCTCAACAATATAATCGCGGTGCTTTTTACTAAAACAGCTTTTACTGATAAGAGCTGTTCTCACTGCCTTACCATTGGAGCTTTGAGCTCTGCAGAGACAAAATTTTCTCAAGCGTCTCATTTCCGCTGGAATAATGTCACGCTAGCATTTTTGGGTAACTGCCTTCGTGTAACTCACCTCTCGAGTTGTATTTTCGGCAGACATGGGAAGACACAGCAAAAAGGTGGAGTGGCCACTTCGATGTGTTGTAGATGTTCACTCATTTTGCTAACCAATGAATGGTGTCCTTCGAAAATTTGCATAAGCAGACAGATGATGACCCATAATGCCACAGAAAAATACCTGAATGAATTCACGGGTAGAATCAAAAATATAGGGCCATTTGCGTTCAGAATCTGTCCAATTTGCCTAAGGGGATCGCAGCTGCAAAACCCGTTTCACTTCATGAGCGTGGAATTACTAATGCATTAGTGTCCACTGCTTCAACATGAGATCTTCCTTGCTCATCAAGTATTCCTGCAGAGGCACTTATGTTCCTCAGCGTGACTATTAATTGGCACGACCGAACAGCTCTCCTCGACTTCCTTTGATTTCGATCGCATACTATCGGCAAAGGGATAAAACTTGTTCCGAGTGTCGCAAAATTTGCGGAACAGAAGGACATATTTAGTAATTTAGGCAAAGTAAGGTAAAGGGTGGGCAATAAATAATAATTCACCGAATTCAGAGAAAGGGTTGGCATTCGAGCTGCCCCACATACCAACGTTAATTAAGTCCTCTACCGGTTTTCCATAGGCGATGTTTTTTAGAAGCTAGGTACGAGAATCGTACCACGGTAGCAAACGGGTAGAAATGAGAGGGAAGGAGATAACAGTACTGATAGCCACTTGCTAAGAGGTCACACTCGATCTTAGAGTTAGTTAATAGCCGGAGGAGCATTTCGTGATCACAAGAGGTTGGGATTCCCTATTTACGCAATCTCGCACTGATATGTATGATAAAACAGTGAGTACCATATACGGACGAGTTATCACTTGCTTACTACCCTATCTTCCGTAGTTTTCTTACGATTTCTACATGATCATCATTAGTCGCATTTTTCGCAACTCACACCCTCAATCCATCGTTACTTCGACACAACACAACGAAGAAGGCCTGATTAGAATACGATTCCCTTGTGACGTCTGCTTCCTGCAGTTACACCACGCCCCTTTTCGTGCACCTTTCACCACGACAACGACGTATGTCTGCTACCTTACGTGCGTAACCGTATATATTGCATATTTGCTCCCCATACACCATGACGTGGGTTCAGAGTGACAGGCAAATCTGAACCTGGAAATAAGTCAAAGAGCTTACTGGAAGCTTATAAGATGTGACAAGAACCATACACGTGGCATGAACATTGCGACCAATGAAAGCATGGAGACGAACTGAAAAAATGATGGGTGAGCTGCTAAATGGAGATAAAACGACCAAAATTAGACTTACGGGGGCTGTGCTAGCTAGGTAGACGATAAATAGTCGTCTGTCTGATTGTGTAATATATACGGAAATGTAGAGTATATGAAGAACCCCCAGAGA